GCATCCCTTCTACATGCAAAACAAAAAAACTCATAGGGACTTCGTCCTCCCTTACAAAACTTGGGGAAGCCATAATAAGCTTGTGTAGGCTTCTTGGAGTCCAATATGACAAGATTGGTGTGTATGACTGAGTATGAGAAAGAGAAATGCAACCCGGATCCTGGTTGTTAAAGTAGCGTAGATGCAAAACAAAAAAACTCATAGGGACTTCGTCCTCCCTTACAAAACATCGGGAAGCCATAATAAGCTTGTGTAGGCTTCTTGGAGTCCAATATGACAAGATTGGTGTGTATGACTGAGTATGAGAAAGAGAAATGTAACCCGGATCCTGGTTGTTAAAGTACCGTAGATGCAAAACAAAAAAAACTCATAGGGACTTCGTCCTCACTTACAAAACTTGTGAAACCATAATAACCTTGTGTAGGGTTCTTTGTGATGTGATCATGGGAAGCTTGGGTCAAGGAACTAAGAAACAGCTTGAACCAGAGGAGGCACTCGACCACGTACTCGACCACGTACTCGACCACCAGGAGGACAACGCGATCGAGCATGCTGATGCTGAACCAGATGATGTACTCGACCACATGCTCGACCACAAGGAGGACAATGTGATCGAGTATACTAATGCACCAAGGAAGTACTCGACCATGCAGGGAGCTAAGGAGCATGATTCACTTGGAGCTGAAGAGGATATGTCATTGCAAGTTGCTACTGGACCAATGACAAGATCCAAGACTAAGTTGTTGAATCAAGCTATCAACACACTTCTACAACACATGGAAGGCAGCCTTAAACCGGAAGCTTGTCCAACCACGTTGGTTGTGATTCAAGCCGTTTAAGTGACATCATTGGAGGTGTGTGACTTGCACTCTTTTTCCCTCCTCTTGGTTTTGTCCCAATGGGTTTTCCAAGAGAGGTTTTTAACGAGGCAAGCCCACACACTTATACTCGAGCCCAATGTTGTCTCGCAGCCCATCGTCAAGGAGAAGCCCGTTTCTTTAAAATTTCGAATTCAGTCTTTGTGTGTTTAATTTCGTTTTCTTTCCCTAGGATAACTCTTCATCTCCCTAGAACTCTCTTCTTCTTCTTTATATTTCGCTTCTTCTCCTTGTAATCGATCATCAAACATTTTCTTATCAAAATCTCTTTCTGATTCTGTTTGATCATGAGATTGGTGTGTAATATCCTTTCTCACTTGTGAATGCTCTTGGTGTGTCATATCCAAGCACGAACAAGCCCAGAAGTTCAAAGGAAACTCGCAGCCTTTGGAAGTTCTACTCGACCCTTCACCTTCTCACCATCACTCGATCGCAACATCATTGGTTCGTTCACCATCATCAAACCATCATCCTCCTCGATCACGTCGACGGATCAACCTATCACTCTCATACTCGATCACACATCACGACTCTCACTTCACCACCAAAACCACTCGATCACACATCACGACTCTCACTTCACTACCAAAACCACTCGACCAGAACCACTCGATCACATGGTCAGATCCATTAGCCCATAACCATTCGCTTACTCGACCCTCTACTCGATCTCAACCCCATCATCACCTTCAACTCCTACTCGATCTCACTCATTTTCATTCCGCATCCCTTCTACTTGATTATTCAACAACCACACGAAGTGCATCAAGGGACTAAGATCTAACCAGGATCATATTAAGTGGTATCAGAGCCACTTCGTGTCAGGTTGTATCTATTCTGACTTTTCAAATTCTATTTTGTTTATTGATCATTCTAGTGTTGAATAATGTCGAACTCGGTTTTAGAAATCTGTTAGAACTGTTAGATCCGCTTGAAAACGATAGGAAACTCGAGTTGAAATTTTTGGACCTTTTAACTTCTATACTCGATCTCCCTGTTAGTTTTCAAGGAACCTTTTACTTGTTATTTCGTTTTGATCTTTGCAGACATGTCTGACAAAGACAAGGAAGAAAGCAGTCAAGCACAGAGCAACAAGCTGTTGATGGAAGCTCTTACAGCAACTCTTACAGCTACTCTTACTGCTAACATGGCAAAAATGATGGACGAAAGGTTTGAAGCTAATGAGAGGTCAACCCAGGGCAGACAGAACAGAGATGCTAGAGATCCTTCTGATCAAGAGGCGGCACATAACTATTACAGCCAAACCTCTACTCGTAACGGCCATAGAAGGAGAAGACATCCCAGAGAAGAAAGAGCTCCGCCTAGAGATGACCTAGCTGGCTTGAAGATACGGATTCCTTCTTTCCAGGGAACCAGTGACCCTGAGGAGTACTTAGAATGGGAAAAGAAGATTGAGATAGTTTTCGGTTGTCAAGGTTATACAGAGGAGCGTAAAGTGAAGTTAGCACCAACAGGATTCCAGAACTACGCATTGAGTTGGTGGGATCAATTGGTCACCACAAGAAGACGTGCTGGAGATTACCCAATTGAGACCTGGACTCAGATAAAGACTATAATGAGGAAGAGATTCGTTCCCAGTCACTACCACAGAGAGCTACACAATAGATTAAGGAATCTAGTCCAAGGAAGCAGATCAGTTGAAGAATACTACAAAGAGATGGAGACATTGATGTTGAGAGCAGATATTCAAGAAGATGAAGAAGCTACAATGTCTAGATTCATGGGAGGTCTGAACCGAGATATCATTGACAGAGTAGAAGTTCAGCACTACGTGGAGCTAGAAGAGCTGCTACACAAAGCCATCATGTTCGAGAAACAACTTAAGAGAAGAAGCTCTAAGCCTAGCTTTGGTTCAGGAAAGCCTAGCTTTGGTTCAGGAAAGCCTAGCTACCAAAGAGATGAGCGATCAGGATTTCAGAAAGATTACAAACCCTTTGTCAAACCAAAGGTTGAGGATCAAGATCAGAAAGGAAAGGGCAAAGCTGTTGAGACCAGAACCAGAGACATCAAGTGCTTTAAGTGTCACGGACATGGTCATTACGCTAGTGAGTGTTTGATATAAGATCGGGAATCACTCCACAATCTTATGAACAAACGGTGATCAAGAACTGATCAACAAAGCTTTGGCGGAAGATGGAAACGTAGGTAAAGGCGGTGATGGTGCTTGTGATTGACTCTCTCAATCCGTGGAGCGATTGACTCTCTCAATCCGTGGAGAACTAGACTTGTTTGAATCACACAAACAATCCTAATCCTATAATCTCAAGAATCAAATGAATCTCTCAAATGAAACTTAAAGACAAACTTTAAACAAAGACACTCTTTGAATAAAAACAAACTTGTATATTTCTTAGATGATTGAAAGGTGATCTTTACAATAGAACAATATGAGCTTATATAGGCTCTTTTCTAACGTCTATAACACTAGAAGAAGAAAGAAAGTGCACGAAATAAAGATGCCTAAGATATTATAGCCGTTAGGCTTAATTGCTTGAATCTTGGCCGAGTAAGGAAATATGATTGACTCCTCTTTATATCTCGAAATCTTCTTGATATTTCCATGTGAGAGAAGCCTCTGGTCCATGTAGAAGCTCCTACAAGACGTGGCCTTTATTGCGTTAAAGGAATCTAGTTGTTGGAATGCATTGAAGGCTTTCGGGTCTAGATATGGAAAGTCTTGGTGTTTGAGTGGGCAAGATTGAATCCACCTGATCCAATGGCTGGAAATGAAGCTTGAGATGTTCTTAAGATACTCTTGTAGCATTAGAGACTCTCCTGGACGCCAAAGTCTGGTTTGCAAGTAACTAAACCGGTCAGCTTCCAAATAAGGCAAGCTGAGAATCATCTGGTTTAGAAAATTAATATCTTCTAAACCAAAATTGTTTTGGGCTTTATTCCAATTCGACGAGATCCTCTGATGAGTCAAGAATGTATTAAAATTCACTTCGTAGCTTAAATCCTTCTGGTCTGGTCGGAATCCTCCAATAAATAGCTGTTGGTCTCCATCGGGTTCATTGGAAGTCTGCTGACTTGTAACTTGAATATATTTCTCATGTAGAAAGATTTTGAACCAATTCCACCTCTCCGTGATTCCTTGATGAGTTAAGTTTCTTGAATAAGTTGATTTGTAGCCTAACTCCTCCTGGATGGGCTGATATACCGCAAGAAAGACACATATGTCTTTGGTACGCTCATGTTTGTTCTCTCCGGGGTTCTTGGTCGGTTGGTCGGTGTTTTCTCCCTGATCCTTGGTTGATGATGACTTGATGTCCTCATCATACTCTCCCTCTTGAAAAGGTTTCGACCTCGAAACTATATCTCCTCTGTTTTGCTCTGGTGCATGGCTCCTCTTCCTTGTAGCCGTTACCCGTTTGGTAACTTCGGTCTTGTTCACCTTTGGTGGTGATGCCTCTTTGTGCTCAGCTTGGTCTAACAACAAGTTCTTCTCTAGTGGAGCGTCTTTATGTGTAATCTCTTTAGGACCTGAAATAATCTCAACTCTTTGGAAAAGAAACAAGTGCGTTATACAAGAACTAAAATTTTCCAAACTACTTTGAACTAGACTATCATTTGATTCTGAATTTATATCTATAGTCTTTTCAATTTTTCTAGTTGGACAATTAACAGCAAAATGTCCTCTTTTATGGCACCTATAACATGTTAACTCAATTAACCTAGCCGGGTTAGAAGACTTACCTTTGTTGCTGTTGCCTTGTGCTTTAAGTAATGGCTTATTAGCTGCCTTGTGAGCTACAGATTTGTATTCTTGATGAATTCTCTTGGCTGGTGAAGCAACCGTTGACTTGTTGGGCTTCTTTGACATGTCTTGTGACACTTTCTTTGGACCAGGACAGCAGAAACTTTTAGGTGTAGGCTGTGGTGCTGCAACTACGATCATTCGCCTTGGCTTTGGATTGGTAAGGACCTTAATTTGTCTCCGAAGCTCATCTCCAGCCTTTTCCACGTATTCCCCATACATGAGCTGCTTCATCTCTTCCCACGTAGCTTCTGGTTCATCATACTCAAGTCGTATGTAAGCATCTTGTTCCCAATGCCTAAAGGCATCCTCAGTTAAGGTGTCCTCCGCATAAATCGTCTTTTCTTTCTCCGGAATTTGGTTAGATGATAACCAATCTTCTATCTCTTGTTCCCAACGCAAATAAGCTTTTGGTCCTTGGTGATGGCCTGCAAAGTTTATGTAACGGACTTCATCTCTTCCTACCACACTTACGTCTTCATCCGCTTCGGTGTATTCTTCACCGGAATCATCTCTTCCAGCCTCACTTTTGGCTTCGTTCTCCTGAGCAAAATCTTCTTTAGATTCTGGTTCGTCACCATTGCTTGCTTGAGACTCGTCTAAACTGATTTGGGAATCAGTTTCTTCACACCATGGTTTAACTCCATCGTTTGATGCGTCGTCATAATCATCCTCGGGTATCTCGCACCATGGTCTGTCCTCTTCTTGGTGCTCTTCCTCAGGGTCAGAGTAAGGTATCTCGCACCATGGCCTATTTTCTTGGTGTGTCTCCTCTTCTTCGGACTCACACCATGACTTTTCTCCATAGGGCTCGTCGGCATTGCTCTCTTGGTCAGTCTCTCCTCTGTACCAACCTTGGTGGCTCGTGGTGTCTTGGGCTGGGTCTGGTGGTTCGGGTTCACGTTCTTCTCCATCTGGTTCATATCCAAATTCTGAACTAGAGTAATCCTCACACCATGATCGTCCTTCATAGCCATCATCTTCATCGAACCAACTCTTGTTTTGCTCATCATAGTCGGATTCATAAGAGCTGGACTCATAAGAATCTTCTTCTTCGTCTGAATAATCTCCCATGGATATTTTCTCTGTAATCTCTTGATGATTTCTCCTTGCACAAGACAAATAAGAAATCGTATCAACTTGTATCAAAGAAAAGGAAAGAACAAATAAATGTCAACAAAAATATGGAAATTTTGTAATTTTTTTTTTTTTTCTCAAATAAAACTCGAAAATACCCAAAAAAAATAAGAAAAATTCACTTTTTATTTTCGTTTCTCTGGTTTTCATAAAAAATAAAAATAAAAATCGAAAATATAAATAAAACAACAAAATATGGTTTTTAGGGCTTTTCTTTTATATAAACGAAAAAAAAAAAAGCAAAACTCAAACAAATAATTTTTTTTTTTTTTTATAATGGTACTAAAGCAAATTAACAAGAATAAAAATGCAAGAATCAAATTTTTATGGGTTTTTTAAGATTTATGAAAATGAAATAACAAAACAGAAAATTAAAAGAGATAAAGGTTGGATGAATACAACCTAATGGGTAGGAGCTTTTGAAGCTCTGATACCAGATGATATAAGATCGGGAATCACTCCACAATCTTATGAACAAACGGTGATCAAGAACTGATCAACAAAGCTTTGGCGGAAGATGGAAACGTAGGTAAAGGCGGTGATGGTGCTTGTGATTGACTCTCTCAATCCGTGGAGCGATTGACTCTCTCAATCCGTGGAGAACTAGACTTGTTTGAATCACACAAACAATCCTAATCCTATAATCTCAAGAATCAAATGAATCTCTCAAATGAAACTTAAAGACAAACTTTAAACAAAGACACTCTTTGAATAAAAACAAACTTGTATATTTCTTAGATGATTGAAAGGTGATCTTTACAATAGAACAATATGAGCTTATATAGGCTCTTTTCTAACGTCTATAACACTAGAAGAAGAAAGAAAGTGCACGAAATAAAGATGCCTAAGATATTATAGCCGTTAGGCTTAATTGCTTGAATCTTGGCCGAGTAAGGAAATATGATTGACTCCTCTTTATATCTCGAAATCTTCTTGATATTTCCATGTGAGAGAAGCCTCTGGTCCATGTAGAAGCTCCTACAAGACGTGGCCTTTATTGCGTTAAAGGAATCTAGTTGTTGGAATGCATTGAAGGCTTTCGGGTCTAGATATGGAAAGTCTTGGTGTTTGAGTGGGCAAGATTGAATCCACCTGATCCAATGGCTGGAAATGAAGCTTGAGATGTTCTTAAGATACTCTTGTAGCATTAGAGACTCTCCTGGACGCCAAAGTCTGGTTTGCAAGTAACTAAACCGGTCAGCTTCCAAATAAGGCAAGCTGAGAATCATCTGGTTTAGAAAATTAATATCTTCTAAACCAAAATTGTTTTGGGCTTTATTCCAATTCGACGAGATCCTCTGATGAGTCAAGAATGTATTAAAATTCACTTCGTAGCTTAAATCCTTCTGGTCTGGTCGGAATCCTCCAATAAATAGCTGTTGGTCTCCATCGGGTTCATTGGAAGTCTGCTGACTTGTAACTTGAATATATTTCTCATGTAGAAAGATTTTGAACCAATTCCACCTCTCCGTGATTCCTTGATGAGTTAAGTTTCTTGAATAAGTTGATTTGTAGCCTAACTCCTCCTGGATGGGCTGATATACCGCAAGAAAGACACATATGTCTTTGGTACGCTCATGTTTGTTCTCTCCGGGGTTCTTGGTCGGTTGGTCGGTGTTTTCTCCCTGATCCTTGGTTGATGATGACTTGATGTCCTCATCAGTGTTCAAACAAGAGAATCATGATACTGAAAGATACTGGTGAGATAGAGTCAGAGGATGAGCAGCAAGAAGAGAACTCATCATCAGAAGACTGTGAAGCGCCATCTAAAGGAGAGCTGCTGGTTGCCATGAAGACTTTGAGTGTTATTGCTAAGACAGATGAGCAAGAGCAAAGAGAAAATCTGTTTCACTCAAGATGTATTGTCAATGACAAGGTCTGTAGCTTGATCATAGATGGAGGAAGCTGCACCAACGTTGCCAGTGAGACCATGGTGGAAAAACTTGGTCTAAAGGTTCTGAAGCATCCGAAGCCATACAAACTGCAGTGGTTGAATGAGGATGGAGAAATGAGCGTGAGCAGACAAGTGAAGGTACCATTGTCTATTGGAAAGTATGAGGACGAAATTTTGTGTGACATACTGCCTATGGACGCTAGTCACATTCTTTTGGGAAGACCATGGCAGTCAGACCGAAGAGTAATGCATGACGGTTTCACCAATCGTCAAATCTTTGAGTTCAAGGGCAGAAAAACCATACTGGCTCCAATGACTCCGCACGAGGTATATCTTGACCAGTTGAGCATGAAAATGAGGAGGAAACAGAAAGAAAAATCACCTAACCTCATGATAACCGAGAGTAAGCAAAAGGGAAGTGATTTACATTCATCTAAATTACTCTTTGTTTTTAAAGAGACTCTCGTGAGCATAACTAATCCTGAGCAGGCCATTCCTAGCAAAATTAAGCTTCTATTGCAGGATTATACTGATGTGTTCCCAGAGGAGAATCCTCAAGGTTTACCACCTATCAGAGGCATTGAACACCAAATAGACTTCGTTCCAGGAGCATCTTTGCCAAACAGACCAGCTTACAGAACTAATCCTGTGGAGACCAAGGAGCTAGAAAAGCAAGTAACTGAGCTAATGGAGAGAGGCCATATTCGTGAGAGTATGAGTCCCTGTGCTGTACCAGTGTTGCTTGTGCCTAAGAAGGATGGAAGCTGGAGAATGTGTGTTGACTGCAGAGCCATCAACAACATAACAGTGAAGTATCGCCATCCTATACCTAGATTAGATGACATGTTAGACGAATTGCATGGTTCTAGCATCTTTTCTAAGGTAGATTTGAAAAGCGGATATCATCAAATTAGGATGAAAGAAGGCGATGAGTGGAAAACTGCATTTAAGACTAAGCAAGGGTTGTATGAATGGTTAGTGATGCCATTCGGGCTGACAAATGCACCTAGTACATTCATGAGGCTAATGAATCATGTTCTTAGAGCTTATATAGGACATTTCGTTGTAGTGTACTTTGATGATATCCTAGTCTACAGCAAGAGTCTAGAAGAGCATGTAGATCATCTGAAAATGGTTCTAGAAGTCCTTAGGAAGGAAAAGCTTTATGCAAATCTTAAGAAATGTACTTTTGGAACAGATAACCTTGTCTTCTTAGGTTTTGTTGTGAGTACAGATGGAGTCAAAGTTGACGAAGAGAAGGTCAAGGCAATCCGTGAGTGGCCAAGTCCGAAATCTGTAGGAGAAGTGAGAAGCTTCCATGGACTGGCTGGTTTCTATAGGCGGTTTGTAAAGGATTTTAGCACTCTAGCAGCTCCTCTCACTGAAGTTATCAAGAAGAATGTTGGATTCAAGTGGGAACAGGCTCAAGAGGATGCTTTCCAGGCTTTGAAAGAGAAGCTTACTAATGCCCCTGTCCTATCTCTCCCCGATTTTATTAAAACTTTTGAGATTGAATGTGATGCCTCCGGGGTAGGAATTGGTGCTGTCTTAATGCAGGATAAGAAACCAATAGCTTATTTCAGTGAAAAGCTAGGAGGAGCTACTCTCAATTATCCTACTTATGACAAGGAGCTTTACGCTTTGGTGAGAGCACTACAGACATGGCAGCATTATCTCTGGCCTAAGGAGTTTGTCATTCACACAGATCATGAGTCCTTAAAGCATCTCAAAGGACAACAGAAGCTCAACAAGCGGCATGCAAGATGGGTTGAATTCATTGAGACCTTCCCCTATGTCATCAAATACAAGAAAGGTAAGGACAATGTAGTTGCTGATGCATTGTCAAGGAGGTATGTTCTTCTCTCATCTCTTGATGCTAAGTTACTCGGGTTTGAGCATATAAAATCTCTTTATGCAAATGATTCTGATTTTGAAAAGATATATTCATCTTGTGAGAAATTTGCATTTGGAAAGTATTATAGACATGACGGGTTCTTGTTTTATGATAACCGTTTGTGTATTCCTAATTCTTCCTTGAGAGAGCTGTTTGTAAGGGAAGCACACGGTGGAGGATTAATGGGACACTTTGGAGTCTCAAAAACTCTTAAAGTCATGCAAGATCACTTTCACTGGCCGCACATGAAAAGAGATGTGGAAAGAATGTGTGAAAGGTGCCCGACATGTAAACAAGCTAAGGCTAAGTCACAACCCCACGGTTTGTATACTCCTCTTCCTATTCCTTTGCATCCTTGGAATGATATTTCTATGGACTTTGTAGTAGGTTTGCCAAGGACCAGGACAGGTAAGGATTCAATTTTTGTGGTTGTGGATAGATTTTCTAAGATGGCACATTTCATTCCATGTCATAAAACTGATGATGCCATGCATATAGCCAACTTGTTCTTTAAAGAAATTGTTCGTTTACATGGCATGCCTAAGACCATAGTATCTGATAGAGACACTAAGTTTCTTAGTTATTTTTGGAAAACGCTTTGGTCTAAGCTAGGAACTAAGTTGATGTTCTCTACTACTTGTCATCCGCAAACTGATGGGCAAACTGAGGTAGTTAATAGGACATTGTCTTCACTCTTGCGTGCATTGATTAAAAAGAATTTAAAGACTTGGGAGGACTGTTTACCTCATGTTGAATTTGCATATAATCATTCTATGCATTCTGCCTCTAAATTTTCACCCTTTCAAATCGTTTATGGGTTCAATCCCACTACTCCTTTGGATTTGATGCCTTTACCTTTGAATGAAAGAGTTAGTCTGTATGGAAAGAAGAAGGCAGAATTGGTTCAACAGATTCATGAGCAGGCTAGGAAGAACATTGAAGAGAAGACGAAGCAGTACACCAAACATGCTAACAAGAGCAGAAAGGAATTCATATTCAACGAAGGAGACTTGGTTTGGATCCATCTTCGAAAAGAACGTTTTCCTAAGGAGAGGAAATCTAAGCTTATGCCAAGAATAGACGGACCATTCAAAGTGCTCAAGAGGATCAACAACAATGCATATTCCCTGGATTTGCAAGGTAAGTATA